AAGTGCAAGTTTAACTGTAAAGGAAGTGCAAGTTTCTGACACATACTTTACTTCACACCGAGAAATTTTAATTAATGAACTTGTTGCTAATCAGATTGGGGCCGAAACTAAAATCCGGTGAACGATAATTCGCGAATAATAACGTCTGGATTTGATCTACTGTGTCCCATGCCTGCCCTTTTAATAGGGAAGAATGTGAGGAACTAATGCATTCACTCACAGAGCTCTTATTATATAAATAGTTAGGACGTCCAGCTAACGAACGGAAAATTTGTGTTTGAAGCCAGAGAAGAGTGTAGTTGATTTTTTACATTTCTTGTTATGAGAAATCTAACAGTCTCTACAACACTATATAAAGTTTTAAGGTCTCTCATTATTATTTTGGCTTCAGTATAACTTCTACTTTCATCACCAAAATGCAAATTAGTTAAAGTGCAAATAAGCTTCTAGTTTCTAAGTTTTTCAGAAAGCACTTCATGACATCCGCTGACCCATCACGCTGTTTTAGCTTCCCTCTACTATTGCACTTGCGGTATGAGTTTCTGCTAGCTGCAATTGCTTCGTCAGCATATTTAAGGACGAATCAAGGCATAGGTTAAGAGCGGTAATTTTGTATTTGATTTATTCTGAACGTGCGTTTTGTTTACGCGCAAGCTAGTAGAGTTTAGCTATTAGTGATCAGAGTTTAGCTAGCAGAATTAACTTCTAGCTTGTGTAATAGCCAAACTGTCGAATTAATAAATGATTTCATTTTAAACTTTTACGATCCTTGAGAGAGAAAGAATGAAAAATCTTCGGACAGTCTCTTACAGTTACTCAAAGATGAACTAGAGCTTTACGGTAATAGACGTAACTGTATAAAATGTCTTTCTTTAAAATATTTATAGTTATAATGATTCTCTTTCTTCTTTTTATTATTATCTTTTTAAGATTTTTTTTTTAAATTGTGCAACTGAAATGCTATCCATTTTTATTTTGGCTGTCATGAAACTGTTCTTTCCTAAGATAACCATTTGCTGTTCTGCAAACGTATGTCAAAGCAAAATAGTACCGAATAATAAAAGAAAGGTTCTGATCCTACTCTTTGCTAAACTCTTTTCTTTATTAAATGACAATCTGAAGTACCTCCGATCAAATCTTACTCAAAACCGGTTGGAAGGCGCTTCACGAAGGAAAAAACATAATACCCAAACTCTTCGAATATACCGAATACCCCCCAATTCTTTTGCAAACATCTTTGCAAAAGCGCCTGGGCCCTGTATTCTAATAGCACACTAAGCTTCTTTTCAGAGGCTGGAGCACGTTTCGCCAGGTATATTCAATGTTTTCTTTTGAGATTTTTGGTGGGGAAAGGGGGATTTCTTTATCGCCAGCTTCAGCTTTATAAATATACTTCAAATCTAGCTAATATAGCTTAATCGCCGAAAAACGAATGAACTCAAGAAGACGCACATCAATTTGACCAGTACGTCAGCACTTCACTTTCACAGGACAATGCGGAATTGTATTGTATTGACTTTAATAAATTATCCGAAACCAATATCCCTTTATAGAGTTAGTATGTGTAACAAATCCTACGGTTTATGAAGATCATAACTGCAAAGAAAGCGGTAATTTATTGACAGCTTTCAATTACCTTTTCATTCATAAGCCTTATCAAAAATAGCTCTTGATTCTACTTCCTTAGTTCAGCTATTAGCTGATGCAAAGTATTTGCGTTACGCTACCAACATAATAAGAGTAAGGAATGTAAAGAAACCTTGCGCATAGAATATCCATGCCGGAAGATGCACGCGCTTCAAATGTTTTTTCAGTTATTCTGTAAGTTTGACTAATAAAGTTGTTCTTCGATCAAAAATGGCGAGATTGCTTTAAAACTTCATTACAGACGTATAACCGAGACACAATAACACGCCGAATAAATGAACTTCTGAATTAGACGTAAAACCCTTTGCGGCACGGTGTGCCTGGTCTGGGCACACCTAAAAATTTCCTTCTGTACGCACAAAAATGATGAAAAGCTTTGAAGGTTACTAAGATTACTCTGACTTCTTATTTATGAGATGCCACTCAACACAACCACTCCTATTTTTGCCCTTTTAATTTTTAAGACCCCCTCATTTTTCAAGAATCTTCCGATTTTGTTTAGGTATAAAATAATTGTTTGAAGAAATTTCTATGTATTTTTTTGACTGTATCTAGTCTCCTTTTCGATATTAGGTGTAAATTTTACTGAATTTGACTAAGTCAACACGACTGAGGTGTCCCAGACTGGACTCACTGCGAGTCTAGGTCACGATAGGCAGCTTATCTTTGTTTCTCTGCAGCTCCTTAACATAGAAAGTGGTTCCACAGCTGTTTTTCATTCCATTTTTTAGGGGTTTTGTTATTAACTAGAAATTTTGGGGTGATTTCGAAGTCGGGATAATTTTATCAGTTTAGCTGTTTGATTTTCCCTAGATCAGTTCTCTTTTTCTTTTTCGAAGTTTAATAGTTTTGAGTCGTAGACATTTATAGTTTATAATTTCCAATTGTAGATATAATATTAGTTTATTTTTTTTCGGATTTTAATTATTTCCAACGGATCGGAGAGGGCTGACCATTTCTAAAGCACTGAAAGTGCTACAAGAATTACTTTCAGATAGTGAATCTGACCGGTCCCATCACATGTGCAAAACATGCAATATGCATTGTGCTTTGGGTTTTTCACTTCTTCGAAAGTACCAGATGAAAAAAATAGACTAAGTTTAATTATGAAATGTAAATAATCAAATATCATATACTCAAGTTACATTTTTTCCCGTCATAGCCTGTAATCTCATATCACCAAAATGAGCTTTTAGGGGTGTAGAGTAGCAACTCCCGTGCCAACACCCTGGCTTGCTTCTCTGCTATGGTATTTCAGATCTATTTTTTTAATAGTGGCAAATCCTTACTCTTTCACGCGCTTCCCAGCAATGCTCGTTTTCAAGCCATTCTTTTTTCGAAGCTCTATTCAATCAGTGTGCCCGCTTCGGGCACACACACAGAATTAAAACGATAAGTGCTATCTTTACAAAATTTTACTTGTGTACTCTTCTAGGCCTAATTAAACTGCCTAACTTTTTTTTTTTTTTTTTTTTTTATCGAAATTCCAACTTTAAAAGGTAGCGTGCCGGAAAGAGTTAAAAGAATAAATATTTGGTGGTAGTCGCTGGGATAGAAAGGTGAAGCCAGTGTTTATTTAAAAACAAAAGAAATACAGTACGTGTGAGTACAAGTTTTTATGAAAACTGTGCCATTTTATATGAAAATGTTTCATCTTATTATTGAATTCAACTAACAGAACGTTATTCTAAGTTTAAGCTTTGGGATTAAAGCGTCAAAATTTGAGCTCTTGCATTAAAGTGGCAAATTTATTACGTTAATATTAGAATATTAAATTTTATACGTTTATTTAATGCTTCTTTGAAAGCACTTGTACTCATTTGGTCAAGTATCTAATTGTATTTATTACAGATATGCTTGAGCCTCTTCGTCTTGTAAAAAACTTAATGTATTTAAACTGAAAATTGTTCTTGAAAGTTCCATCAGATTGAAAGAATAACTTTTCTTCGAAAAGTTGCCCGTAAGGGAAGGAATTTAAGACTTTAACGTATTTGTGTTGCTACGCTAGTAACATAATTCCAGTAAGAAATGTAAAGAAACCTCGCGCATAGAATATCCGTGCCGGTAGATGCACGCGCTTAAGATGTTTTTTCAGTTATTCTGTAAGTTTGACGAATAAAGTTGGTTGTTCGAACAAAAATGGCAAGATTTCTTTAAAACTTCATTATACAGATCATCAGATTTATGACTATTGCTAATACTTTTGTATAGTTTTTTATCCTGTCCATTAATAATATGAGAAAGTAAAAGGAGAAATTTTGACATATGAATTCGTAATTCCTCTTGAGTGCAACAGAAGAGAGTATTTATTAAGCCAATTTAGTTTTAACTGGGCGTCAAAATCTCAGAATTAAGGCAAGTTGTCTCTTCTTAATATTTGCTGTACCAAAATAGTTAATCTAAATTTTTAGATTATTATTTTCGATTGAATATCATCTTTCTCTAACCGTTTCATCTAACGATAATAAAATGTAAATAATCACGAATTTTTTGAAATCTTAACGTGTTACGAATAACATTGACCAAAAAAGTACGTTCAACCGCAGCGTTCAGTTTTAAATACGGAAAATAAACAAAAGTGAAACGAGTTCTGACGGGAGTGCGGAGCTAGAAAGAGATATTGAGGAAACATTTGTCCATCTGGATCTTGAGTTCTGAAGAAAGTTTTAAAATGAATAAATTGCAGAGATCATCTTTTAAAACGTTTAGCAATGCAGAGTTCTGAAATTCGCAAATCACACTGTTTTACGCATAATAAAGCCACCTGCTTCGTATTTTCCAATTTTTACTAAAGTAAACAACTATAAAGATCTCGATAGAGGTATGTTCTAATAAAAATCATAGCACTAGAAAAAAAAAATTGTTGTTGTATGGAATAAAGTTTTTGAATTGAAAAATGCTGCAGAAGTGCAAATTATTTTTAGTTTAACAGTATTAATTATAGTGTTCTTCTTTCGTCAGCAGCAATTAAAAGTATATTTTCAACAAGGACAATGAATAAGAACAAAATAAGAACTGCAAACTTCCTTGAAGAATGACTCTTTTGGTAAACGAAAAATTAAACCATTCGACAGCAACTTTTATTGTTCCTTAAGATTTAATTCATTTAGCAAAATATGCTAAAAATAGTGAATAAATATTAACAATTTTTTCTTATATATAAAAATATATATGAGGAAAAATTGTAAATATTTATTGGAGTTCGTCTATAATTTAGGGTTAAAACAAATAGACCGATTATATGCTTATAATTTGAAATGTGTTTATTTGTATCAGGATGCGTACAGTACCGTTTTATATAGCCGTTCTCAAGTTTACCGCCTCTTAATTTCATCCGTTTTTGTAACGTCAGCATGAGTATTCTTGTCAACAGTCAAGCAGTATGCCCTCATTTAAGTAAAAGAGCCTTCAGTGTGCGTGAACAGGCAAAAACAAATTTTGATGCTACTGTACAGCCTAGTTTTAGAGCACGGTATGGATGAAAATCAACAGAAGACTACGCTCTGACATGTCTACCTATTGGAATTATAAAAACATGATTCTGACATATTAGCTGCTAAGAAGTCCAATTTACACAACATGTAAGTTATTTAGCACAACCTGAGCTTGAAGAATCACAATCTTTATTTTTTAAGCATATCAAATCATCCTTTTGCAGGCAAGATATTTCTTAATTGTAGTTGAATACAATAAGTTCCATTTTAAAGTACAACATCATCTTAGGCAAATAAGCAACAGCGTGGAAAAGCAGCTTCTTGCCGGCAGGGAAGCATAAGCGAAAGAGAACGCTGCAACACAGAGGAAGAAGGAAGGGAGTCAATAGTTTCAGTTCGACTTTGAGAAAGTTTTGGTTTACAATTAATTTGTTTGGACAAGAGGTATCTACATTAAAACGTTACGTAACATAGAAAGGTCTCGATTCCGAAAAACAGATAAATTTAGGGGGAGAGCACCAAATCTAGAATGTTAATTTTGAGATCGCCAATTTTTTTCTTAAACAGCTGTCGTATTTTGTTATATCTTACATATATAAGTAATTTTATACAATAGTAAGTAACATACATTAGTAATTTTATTCCACATCTAGTACCCTTTTCTTCCATTAGCTGGTTAATGTTTCCCATCCTTCGTCAATACATTAATTTGGACTATAATGTGAAGCAAATAGGAAATTTGGAATCTCATCTAACCAGCACTAGGACTCATTAAAGTCGGTAAGCAGAAAATGAACCTTTAAATAAAGGTTCTAAGTGTCTGATTTGAGGCTATTATAAAAACTTTTGTACTCCAACTTAAAACGTGTGTTCATTAAAAAAAGTAGTTTCCTACGACAAGTGAATAAGGTGGCTTGTCTCGTGATGAGGTTTATCTCGTGAGTAATGATGAATATGACGCCACTTCGTTCAGAAATTCCTCTAATAATCACTTTCTTGTAAGACTTTTGATTTCTTGACCCTAAAAAGTAATCTAAACATATAAAGTCTATTAGGTATTCATCGACTTACGAATGACGAAAATTCAGCAATACCGTCGCTAAGGTTCGGGCACCCCGGAGCTTCCTGTTGCTGCGAGACGGGATAACATTCACACCACGAACGCCCACGTTGAAGATGGAAAAATTTTCTTATAAACTGAATTTGAAAATGGAAACAATTAGAAGGGAATTACAAATTCATTGTAGGTAGACATCAGGTTCCAGTACCTTAATGAAAATTTATTTATTATATTACAAGTAAATTTCGTTATTTGAATATTTAATTCCAAGAAAAATTACTTCAGTTATTAAATTCTATGATTTCAATACGGAAACGAAGGGAGTTCAAGGTTAAACCTAACTGACTCTTAAATTCCTTGTCAAACTTTCCTTTGTATGACTTATCCCCTTTGCATTTGATAACTTAAATAATTTGAAGTCTAGAACTCTAAGAACACAGAGAAGAGATAAAACTTGTATTAATGCTACATCTTATAAGCACAATTAAAATTTAGCAAAGCTTATTGATTCTTACTTGAGGGGTCTTTGGAATGCAAATATGTACAATACCGCAAATTTAATGCCCACACAACCAGCGATATCAAAGCATGTTCAGTTTTGTCAAATTATTTAAGTTATACGATATTACCTGAATAGCTTTTAGACTTCACCCTACGGCAGAATCTTTACAGGCCTTGCTTAAACCTCACCACATCCGTTGAGGACATACGTATTTACCTACCACATAATCACATCTCCTTGCCTGGTTACTGTGAATCACATGACTCATGGCTGTCTGTCCCTGATTCATATATCAAGTTACTGGACGGAATAATAGAGTTCTAATGACTCTTTCTAAGGGGGTACTGACCGTGAAGTTCACTCTGGGGAGTAGCGGAGAAGTAAATAACAAGAAGTGGACGTCGGTCACTCGGTAATGACGACATTCAGGGAGTGAAAGGAATTTTAGAGATCTAGGGTTAGATAATCCAAATTATGAAAGCAGATTATGAGGGATGAACTGATATTTACTTCATCGTACTTATGATGTTAGAAAAATTCCTACCGTAGTCTCTCAGTATCGCTACGTTATATTTCACTTCCCTGTAATTATCATCTCCACTCCCTTAAACTGTTACACGTATTAATCGGCAAGACCACTGGTTAACGGTGACCAGTGGTCTTGACGATTGTTAGTGTCTATCGATTTAAAGCTCAACTTGACGAGCACTTTGATTTAATTTTATTTTATCAATCTAAATTTAGCGCTCTAACCCACATCAATGACTTACAGTCCTTAACATCAGTGCAGGATGTTAAAGACGCGCTGATGTCAGACAGACATCAAATGACTGCGCTGATGTCCGTAAGGTCTTTCCAAATGTTCAATGTTGCCAATAGTCGAATCTTAACATCTTTAATTTATCTATCTTCGCCGCTAATAGCATGTTCTCAGAATGTTGCTTTTCGGCAAAAGTAAGACCCTCAATTTATATTGCAAATTTAACCGATCTATAATTGCCGTGATTAAGTATTCGTGAATAATTATGTCTGAACCTACGAGTTATCGAGCCGTGTCATTATGTTTCGAATCTGTAATATAACTTCTCCTTTTTGTTTGCCCTCACCAGGATGTAAATGAGATTAATAATTATTTTATTTGAGAATTTTGAACGTTTTAAATAGAGCTTTTGGTAACGACTCTCGCGGCCTTAACTTCTGTAGCTCTGCTCTACCAGTTAATATTACGGAATTACCCATTTGTTAGCCGACGTTAAATCGCACCATTAAAGTTTCAACAAGGCCAAATTTGTGTATTCTCTGACTACGATTCCTTTATTAAATCGTAAATTCAGCTTTATGTTATTGTTACGCGCGTACGAATTCATAGTGAATTTATTCCACCCAGAACCGATAATACCTTGATAGAATTTATTTTCTCAAGAAAAACAAGTCACAGTTCTGGAACTTTTCACAAAAGTGCTCGTACAGTTCTTCTCAGTATGACAGAACACAAACAATAATTACTTCTTCAAACGACTACGTTACACACAAGACAATATAGTAAGTAAGCTTACACAGTAATCTTTCAATACTCTGAGCTAAACTCTGAACTAAAATGAGAACTAATGCTCTCTCCTGTCTTATATAGGTTTCCTTCGTCGGCCAAGAAATTCCTAGTACCTTCTCGAAATTGCCGGAAGGCATATACAGTTACAGTTGCATTTGCATAGGGATCAGTTATAATTATAAAGGGATTGGAGCAAATTGTCGCTAAGTTTAGCGGATTTTGGAGGTTTGTCGCCCAAAACATCACGCTTGGCGCTATCTAGCCAAATAAGCGAGATAGAAATTTACCTCCATGTTAAATGGACTTCCCCCTGCAACTTTATTTTACCGGCGAAGCGTCCCACTCTTGAGGCCTTTCATGTTACATTATACAAGAGATATTACAATTTTAAGTATAATTTCACTAAAATTATTTACATAATGCAAAATTTGTAATATTATTTTAATATCTGCAAGTGGAGGAGTTTTAATTGTATGTACAAGTTAAGTCTTTTGTTCAATTCAAGTTTAAATAAAAAAATCTATTTAAAACCTTCGTATAAGACTTTGTCGTACAGTTTCAGACGAAACGAAATTTCGGTTGGCACTCTGAAAGAATTTGAAGGATTTTAAAGTTAGTATTGAACAGTTAAAGATTCTATAGACTTCCCTGTCCAAGTAGTCTGGTAACGCACCATTTCTTTTTTGATGAATTGCACAAGGAATATATTTTGAATAGTATACACTAATAACTTCGTTTTATTTTCTGCTTAAGCAATACTTTCTTAAAAATTCCTGAAAATGATACATTTTGACTAACTGGAGAAGAAACTGGATGCATCTTAAGAAATCAATCAAAACATGCGGTCGTAATAGAGAACAATGGTCATATTTCAATCCGAAACCATCTTCCGCTGAGAGGTTAGTCAACAACGCACAGATTTTTCTGATCCTTTCTCGTTCTCCTCTTGAAATACAGAGCCTAGGTAGAAAAATACTCTCCTAGTTCCATACAAACTCCCGTCGCATTCCTCGGTTACGGGGGTTCCCCTTTTGTAGTGGAGTATACTCAGGAAATAAGAGTCGAAGAGTCCGGGTTAGGCCTCCGACAGCACGTGAGGGGCATTCCAATGACCAGCGAAGAGGGATTAATGGAAAATTCCCCGCATCATCCGTCAGGCCATACCTGTGTCATTCTGCTCATGGAAGAGGGCCGTAAGTGGATCTATTCAGGATAGGGGGAAAGACCTATTGTAATCGCATGTAGGGGAATATATCTTATCCGCTACCGTCAAACTCTTTTCCTCTAGTCATATTTCAAAAGTAAACATTATATAATGTGATAGGAATTTGATATAAATATGAGCTGATTTATAAATTTCAATACGTGTGTTATAACTAGGAAAACCACGAAATAAAAAGTGCTTTTCGACGTTAATTATGTCTTTAACGCTATTTTTCCAATTCTCTTGGGTCGCTACGTCACGTTAAGCCACTGCGTTATTTACCATACACCATACCTAGTAACTGCTGCTCTTGTCAAGTGTAAACAAGGAGCTTAATCTTTTACACGATCTGCTAAAATAAACAGTTTGCATAGTTTTGCTACTCGGCGTCATTCTGTACAATGTATGCTCATTTAAACTAATACGTTCAATGTTGGTTATTAAAATTCATGTAATTATTAACACATTCACATTAAAAGAATATCATTATTGTTACCAATAAATAATGTCATTTCTTTAATTTAATAATAATGATATTTCTTTTATTATTGCAACTTAGTTCTAATTCAATCGTAGAAAAACATTACTTCTCAAAAATTCATTCCAAGTTCTCATTTTATGCGTCTGTTTGCGAATGCAAATTTTGAGTGACTTCGAAATTTTTAGTGAAGTAAAAATATTTTACATTTGAAAACTGAATAAAAAAACACACTTATATATATATATATATATAATACATATTCTAAGGGATAAGAAAAGAAATATTCATCTTTTAGTTCTTAATTCTACTCATTATACCTTATTCCTCTTGCATAAGACAAAAAACGAAGGGCAAAAAGTACGAATTGATGTACTAGTGTACAGCTTTTTTACATCAATTCCATTTGCGATACTACTTGTTTTACTGATGTATGTCTCCTCCTATCTCATCGCTAAGTAGTTTGCATTACCCGCAGTTGGATACATATTCATGTGTCGTTTCATTATGTAAAGAAATTATAGAATACAAAGGAGAAAACTGACATATGGACACAAAATTAAGCCATTCTGAAAGAAACATACCTTTTTTTTTTTTTTTTTTTTTTTTTTTTTCTACATGTGAAAAATACAGTGAAACTTCGGTTCACGTATTTATTTCTTTCCTGAAGTATCCTGAAGTCAACCAAAACAATAACCCCCCGTATGAATTAATGTAAAATGATTATTTCGTTCTTGTATTACAGATGATGTCCTACTTAAACTTTAAGAGAGTACGTTGTGCAAAATTTAATAGCACAAATTATAACCAAGCATAAATGGACATAAAAGATTTTCATAAGCAAAAATAAAAATAATTGAATATTATAAAGCAAAAAAAAGATTTAAAAAAAGTATTAAACAGATAAAGTAGACAAAAACTTAATTTTACCGCACCGGTAGAAGAGTGGGCAGCATAAGAGGAAAATAATGAGGAAGATGTGTTTACTTGGACTCGAAATTCCTTTCCATAAAATCATCAAGCAGTTATCTTTTAGGGGCGTCTTTTTGTATCTTCATTTGTCTTTAGCACCGCCACCCAGTTCTGCTTAAGACTTCAGTGGGCTCAAAGTACAATCAAAATTTAACAAATGTAATTTTTGTTGTCTACGTTTTAAAATGTGCCTAAAGGAAGACATGGCATCCCCACGGAAAGTGTAGCTTGTTGTTTCATGAGGGTGATAACGTTGCATGAATACTTTGCATCTTAACAACATTTGCACAAATTTAACGGGTCAGACAACTAGGATCGTTTTTATTTATTCCTCTTCTACTGAAGACATTTCTTGCACAATCGCTTCTAAAGTAGCTGTAGTTCTTTCTTGTTGAGCTCATTTTTTTTATAGTCCTGAAAGTTTTCCTTGTTGACTTTACAGCTCTGAAAAACATTATGATATAAATAAGATAGCTCAATGTTTCTTCCTAAAATCTAGTTTTGCCATAATTTCCTCCAAACCGAATACGTGATTCTGTAAGTGATATGTTTGCTTCCAGGTTTTGATATTGGTAATGAGACTTAAAAGCAATGGAAAATATCAAAATAATGCTTCCAGAAATCTCTGAGTGTTAGGTTACCTCAATACACCTTTGAAAATACACACTGCTTACTTGAATGTTCGTAATTCGAAATACCGAAGATAGTGTTCGTAATTCGAAATGTGCTTTTGTTTGCTTTTAGATAGTTTGTTTGTGATCCGAGAATTGAGCTGTGAACCGAAGTCAGGCATCCGTCATCCAAGTATCCACTGTATTAATTCTTTTGTTCAAGATATCGAAATTTTTAGGTTCAGAAAAGAAGCTCTAAGTGAAACACAAAATATCCCGCATTGAATGCTGATGAAATTTTCGGCAAAAGTGAAAATATTTTGGAAGAGAAGACTGATACGCATAAGAGGGTCAGAAATTATAAGCAACCTTCATTTTGACTGAATTAAGCGATGAAGGTTCTTCGTTTCAGCTATGTAGAGATAGATACAAAGAAACTGAATAAGGGAATAGGTAATAAAATTACAGTAGGTAGTTTTTACACAAATTCGATTACAAAATAAATGCTAAAAGCAACAAATAGCTAAAACAATAAACAATATTACAACAACACAGAAAAACAACAATGCACTTAAAATAATTAAAATATTCACAGAAATTTATAACACTATTACATGAAATATGTAGAGCATTTTATACACTACATTTAATACCCGTTTCGAATTTTATTTTCTTTCTAAGTTTAGCGTAATTCATAGCCGTCTGAAGAGATTATTGTGAAACATTTTTCAAAATAACATGGCAGCTAGGAAATAAGTTTACCCCAGTAATAAATGCAGAGAGATTAATAGAAAACAAATTCTCCGTCAACTCGGTCAGAAATATTGGATTTAACATCCATTTAAGATCCTCTGTATGGGAAATAAATACAAATTTGAGGAACTACAGAATGATTTGGAGACCCCGTAATTTTTAGAGGAACACGATACACGCGCTTTTTCACTCTGAAAAATTGCTCTCCACATTAGAACTCTTCAGAGAAATTCGCTTATCTCATTCCTATTAAAAAAAGTGCAAAGTCACAAAAATATTATACTGCGTCAGATCACTAATAATGTACACCTTTTAGAAAAAGTGACAGCAGTACTTGTTTTTAGTTCGTCACGGTAAGGCGCAAGAGGATTATCTGCTTAAGGGGACGAATACCTTTATCAAAAACTTTTCAAGGGAAACAAACTAGCTTGTATAAATATTACGCACAGGGAAAACTATAAAATTTTCATGCAAGCCAGAAAGTTCCCTGGGATTCAAACCAGGATCAGACTAATAACATTTAGCGACTGTTTTCACTTGCCCGCCCTTAGTGGATTTGAAACTCGTTAAAAAACACTATTGGTGAGGGTGAAGCTTGACATCATGCTAATCATACTTTATTTTTATGTAACTATGTATTTATTTCATAATTTTCAATATATGTGCTACATATCATGGTAAAAACTACAAAACTTTCATGCAAGCCAGCACGTTGGACAGGAATCAAACCAGGATCAGAATACAAACATTCAGTTCCATTCCACTTTCCGCTGTTATACTGGACTCAGCCTGCGTGGATTGCAGGCTTTTTGCCAGTTGTCGTCCAATATGGGTTCCTGGAAGTACATAAAACAAAACAAAGGTGTCACAGAGACAAGATGTGATAATAAGAGAAGATGTGGCACTTTGCCACTCAAGAGTATTACATCGTAAAATGGTGTAAAATACAAATCAGATACAAATATGCATTAATACACTCATGTCCATAAATTAAGGATAATTCGGAATCACGCGTAAATCGAACTCTAAAATAAATATATCACCTGTAAAATCACTATACACATCTTCAAGAATCATATGCAAATTTCAGGAAGTAACCAGATGACACCGATGGTACGTCACAATGACGAGAGTGTAAGAGAGTGATATATAAGGAACACAGGAAAAGAAGTAAAATTGTTCGCAGCCGCTTTATAAGCATTTCAGTGCAATAACCGAATAGTTATGACACAAAGGACGCATTTGGATGATTTCTTACGTGGTAATTATCGGCCGTCTGGAATGTGGGCGTACCCAACTGGAAGTATCAGACAACTTGGAATTACACAGAGTGTCATCTCCAGGCTTTGGCAACGATTCCAAGATGATGGTAATATGAGTAGACGTTACAGCACAGGTTGCCCCAGAGTTACAACGCCGAATGAGGACCGGTATTTGGCAGTTACTGCCAAAAGAAACAGGCGGAGAAGCCTCAGACCTGTCTCGTCAGCTCTCTTCAGCCACTGGTACGACAATTTCAAGGCACACCGTGTAGAGAAGTTTAGGGAAGATTGGTCTATATGCTCGTAGACCTGTCAGATGCGTTCCACTTACTGCAACTCACTGTCGCATGCGGTTAGCCTGGAGTAGAGAGCATGCATTGTGGACACCGCAAAAGTGGGCTTGTGTGATGTTTTCCGACGAGTCCAGGTTTAGCTTGCAGTCTGATTCTCGCCGGACTTTCATATGGAGAGCTCCAGGTACCCGTTACCACCAAGAAAACATCACTGAACGACACCGTTACGGTGGTGCAGGAGTGCTCGTTTGGGGTGGAATTATTATGGGTTCCAGAAATAACCTGCATGTTCAAATTGGAACCATGACAAGCCAAATCTATCGGGACGTTATTCTGGAACAACATGTACGTTTGTTTCGGGGCGCCATGGGCACACAATTTGTGTTTTTGTATTTATGGATGACAACGCCCGTCCTCACCGTGCAAACATCATAAGCGAATGCCTTGAATCGGAGGATATCACCCATATGGACTGGCCAGCATTCTCACCGGACTTCAATCCAGTAGAGCACGTGTGGGACATGCTTGGCCGACGAGTTGCAGCTCGTCAACCTCCTTCTACATGTCTACCGGAACTTCGGAGAGTATTGCTTTTTGAGTGTTGTAATATCCCCCAAGATCACATCGATAATTTGATACTCAGCATGCCTAGGCGTTGTATGGACTGTATTGCATCGTCTGGGAGACATACAATGTATTAACAATCATACCAACCATGGAATATTGTTTTTTGTAAATAGGTTTTTTTTTTTTTTTTTTTTTTTTTTTTTTTTTTTTTGTAATTTGCTCCAGGGAGAAAAAATCGCTAATTTTTTTAATAATATCAAACATATAGCATCTTTTTTTGCTCTTTACCTTTTGTTTAATAAATAAGCTGTACAAATAAGTGAAATTTGTTTCGCTTCTAACTCTTCCTTTGCCTAATTTTGCATTATCCTTTATTTATGGACATGAGTGTAGTTGCAATGATGAAAATCAAAAATAAAACATAGTTCTTCAGATAGAAGTTCCAAAGTTGAATCTTGGTTAAATATGAGTATATACAAAATTTACAATATAAAAGTAGAAAACAAAGTCAAAATGTTGAGCCATGTCATGTAATGACTAAGGGTTCACGCCATTGGATGGAGCAGTAAACTTGTGAAAAAGCATGTTTTTTAAAAATATCTGTCATTTTGAAAAACACTACTGGTGAGAATGAAGCTTCACATTATATTAATAATATTTTATTTTCATATTACTATTTATTTGCTCAATAATTTGAAAAATATTTCTAACACATTTTTGCTGTTGCTTGCTTTGTAAAGGGAACTCATTATGTTTATTTCATTAAATATTTTTCGTTTCCATATTCACCTTTCTTAATATATCCACTATGAAATGTCAATATTATTATCTATTCTGCTCACTAAATGAATTCAAAATGTACTCGTATTTGATGCTTTCCATGCATACGCAGTTATAGCAATTCTGCAAATGGTTGAAAAACAAGAAAGTAGAATATGAATAAAATCATTTAAAAATACAAAATACAGTAATTGTCGTTTTAGCCTACAGATGGCGCCACACTTCATAGTAAACAACATTTTTGCAATGAAATGAAATGAAATTGAGAAAGAAGAATTATGATTTTGTTTTCTTTATAAAGGAAATTTAAAAATAGCATCAGACACGTCTACACATCGGCCATCATTCCGTGCCTCCGTTCACCGTAAAATAAGTTAATCAATAATGTAGTCAAAATTCGAGAAGAAACCGAACAGAAATATCGGTATTTTTGTGCTATAGCGGCTCTCTAAGAAAAAGAAAAATTGTGAATAAAAATAAATTTCCTCGAGTAATTTAAAAACTTAAAATTTATTCTACGCATGGCATTCTACAAAAACAGAAAAATGTATGAAAATATGAATAACAAATTACAAAATTGAAAATACCATAAACAAGAGTTTTTAGTACAAAAAAGAACTCTAAACTCTTACTCTTGATTATTTCAAAATTACACACTTTTTTTTATTTCTCGTATCCTTTCGAATAATTTCAAATAACAGAAGCGTAACTTTCAGCGATTTCATTTCTTGCGTCCTATCTATGTTGCTCAGAAAATAAATTATTCTTTTCAACAGCCAAGCACTTACCAAATATACATTCGTCACAGGATGGCAGGATTCATCTGACAGTGCGCTGTTTCTGCAGCGAGGCAGTTGACCAGGTTGTAAACTGAAACTGCAATAGTTAGCTTTTCGCAAATTGAAAATCTTGGATAGCATTTTTTACGCTATTGCATAAAAGCGAAGAATTTTTATATTCCGAATGATTTCATAAAATGTCATAAAGATTATTGCACTTTTGCGTAAGTCAGCGACGTCAAGATAAAAACTTGCTGAAGATTGATTTCTGCATGATGTTAATAATGGTATCAGGCACCTTTGTGCCGTTCAACGAACAATGTTCAACTTATATAAAGGTGCCGCCACCTTATAAGGTATTTTCTCCCTCCTTTCTGCATGCCTTCATGGTGTAACGGTAGCACACTTGGCGCGTATTCGAGAGGTCCAGGTCCGAGTCCCGGTGAGGGCATTGCTCATTTTCACATCTCCTGCTTCAAAAAACCTAATGACTTTACAGTGACGTTAGAGCTAAAAATGGTGAATGATGATTCTTCACCACCAGGATTTGGCGATTGGGTCCCCTAATCCCCATTTCTCCCTTCTTTCAGAATGCCTTCGTGGTGTAACGGTAGCATACTGAGCGCGTATTCGAGAGGTCCAGGTTCGAGTCCTGGCGAGGGCATTGCTCATTTTTCATATTCCTTGCTTCAAAAAAACTAATGACTCTATAACCTTTATGCAGGTTTGCTCTCCGGTTAGAACAACCTCATCTGCCCCTCAAGATTGTGTGTTAGACAATCACACGAATGTCCAACCACAGGAATGTGTTCAAATATATCTCCGAAAGCCCACATAGATATTTAAAAATGTCCACACAAGTGTTTTTTTCTTTTTTTTTTTTTTTTTTTTTTGATTCGAATTCTTTTAGGCGGAGGGATCTAACCCCTCATATACCGTTTAATTTAAGAGTTTCATTTTCACCTACAGACTTAGCCGATGACATATGTATATTGAAATGAACACTGTGTCTATGCACACACTGCTTTGATGGAAAGTGACGCGGCAGATATCGTCGCTAAAAGAGCCAGCTGCAAAAACGGAAATACCTCTCATATATGTTTCTCTTCTCCAACTGCGATGTAAAAGGAAACTACGACAAGCTTTTATTAAACAGTTACTAAGTACAAGAATTGTATGGAGAAATAGAGAAAACATGTCACTAGTTCTGAAAATACTTTATTTCTTGTAGGTACAAACACATACAGTCTCTTAGTATAACCACCTAGCATGTCTACTACGTTCTGTCAACTTACTAGAAGTCTTCGAACATCATCAGCGCATCCACTTCTGTTAATGCTTCACAGAAACCGCTTCTAAAGCAGGGATAACCTCCTCTTTATAACCCTCTCGGGGCTCTCCCATAGTGGTTCTTATGTTTTGGCAGAGATCTTATTTATATCGAATAAGCATGGAGAAAATTCCAGTCCCTCCAATAGCCAACGTCGCTTGAGATCCATGGTAGCATTCGCATTATGACACCACTCATTTTCATGGAAAAGGATGCAATTCGTCACCAACAAATGCTTTCTCTCTCTTCTGAGTGCCGGATGTACATGATGTCTCTAATAAATCCCATCCTCCTCCATAAAAATATGCTGTGTCATGATGCAAGCGCTGCCACAGATCTCCTGTGACGTGGTGATGGGAGGCAATGGAACACCAGCCACACGTATCTGATATGAACTGTATGATTATGATCTTTTCGCCGAAATGAAAGAACCTCTTCGAAGAATCCATTATAATAGGTTCATTAGAGTACAGAACAAGTTAACCGTGCTTAAGGCTGTCATTGTGTTGTATCGACAAACGCAGATCTGCTTATGGTGTACGACGCCTTCCAGTAATTTGGCAGAAAGTGATAGACATTGCAGGCAATTATATTGAGAGATTGTAGTTGTTTATACTTATAGTAATAAAATCTTTTCAGAATTTTTCAAGCGTTTTAATTACTTTTCCGACACTGTACTTCTTGGTATTTCGGTAGGTCTAGCTTTCTTTTCCTTCTATAAATTAAAGGTAGTTAATTCGCCGCTTTACAGTTCTTAGGAAGAATTTCACTAAAACAGTCTATTTTCATAAAGCGTGGGAAATCTGTTATAATAAGTGACCTAAAGTTATATTGACACTTGATGGATACTATTACGATTTAAAACCTTTTAAAAGTCATTTTCTAGATACTGCTAATGCATGTTGAACCAAAAAGTGCATTTTGCAGAATCTAACTCTCTAACAGTCAACTAACTAACTGCATGCCTCATCCTTCCCTTTTCTTTCAGCATGCGACTGCCACCCGGTTGGGGCGTCTGGCCGCACCTGCAACCAGACGACCGGCCAGTGCCCGTGCAAAGATGGAGTGACTGGCATAACGTGCAACCGGTGCGCCAAGGGGTACCAGCAAAGCAGATCTCCCATCGCTCCTTGCATCAGTAGGTGGACGCTCCAGATTACCTTCTACTCAAATGGCTGTTGTTAGATCCTAAATCCACGGTTGTCCAATTAGCGATACAGAAAACATATTTAAACATTTTTCTTTTTAATTTTGCAGGTGTCTGTTTAAAAAATTATCACAGTAAAATATACACGCATACATCGAAGCAATGAACAGTATCATTCACTATAGTAATTAGATACTAATGAAAGTGTAAGTTTTTAATTAAATTAGTAGCATATTGCCGAATAGAAATTTGGTTTACCTCAAAATGTTTTGTTAACTATCCACAACATTCGAGCAATTTTCGTTGCATGTAGCTATAAATATTTTAGGGTATACGTTGTATGTTTTCTTCCCTAGGATGTATTATAGTAATCTGATGACTTTGAGATGGAAACCTGTGCCATGAAATGTAACTCAGATATTTATAAAACATTGTGATACACAGCGCCATTTAACATAACGGTGCCTTTATTCTATTAATCGTTTAATTTTTTAACAACTCATCTTTCATTTATAGAAATTTCTTGCTCCGTAATAGCATCGTCGTAAAATAGATCTCTATATGCTATAATTCCAATAAGATCGGACATCATCACACCAATCAGCCAAAGAATCTGTGCTTCAACAAATACTTCGTAGCTGTGTGATTTCTGAAGGAGGAAATGTACTATTATGCCGATTGTTCCCCACTCCATTCCAGACTAGTCAGTCGGCGTCTAACTTTCTAAGGCTATCATGAGTCTCAAATGTACATTAATAAACCTTGGAACATTGAAAACTCAACAGCATAGGGAAAAATTCATTTATACAAACAGCATAGTCCAAAAATTCATGCCAAACATGCTCTGCAGAAATAGCAGAAAACATCTGAAAAACATCTAGGTCATAAGATAGGAAACTGAAAGTACAGAATTCGAGTGAATGAAGGATATAATAAATAACATCGTGCAGTCTCTTATTCTGGGAGATAGATGTATATTTGAGCTATCTTTGATGATGCTGGTTTCAATCTCAAAATCACCAGATTTCCGTAATCCACTGTTTACCTCATGGATTGAAATTAAGACTCTCAGAAGAGCGATCTAAGAAAACTTTCCATGGATTAAAAAATTATTATTAAAATATTTGGTTTCATCAGTTTCAATTTGGTTATCGGCAAGGGACAATAATCTTTCTGTCAAACTTCTGTCTGAAGTTTCAATTAGAAGAAACTATTCCTCGCTTGGTTACGGTTAAAGGTTGCAGATAATGAAATCTATGGATGCTTCGACACTGAAATATTTAAAAAAATGTGTTGACTTCAGATCTCCGTTGAATAACCTAATAACTCTTCTGCACCAATAAAAATGAAGACATTGAAATATTTTGTATTTTATGGTGAAAAGATAATTTAGCATTGATAGATGTTCAGAGATTAACAAAAACGTGAAATGATTGAACTTTGAAAATTTTCAAAAAATAATTTTTATTTCTAGTTGAATAAGAGTTCTATTCGGCTGCCTTTTATTTCTTAAATTCCTGAGCGGCCTGATGGTCTTTATACATTCATTAAGTTTGCTGTTATTTGTGTTATATTATTTTGTTTTTTGAAATATTTTGTTTCCTTTAATAGTCCAATGTCATCCTACTGAATGGAAAGTTATGAAAACAAAGATATATAATTATGCAAATCGAGATCATAAATGTTGTTTAAATACAGCCCTTCATGAAAACAATTCAACAAGCCAATATCTAAAAGAAGTCCGTTTGTTTCAGGTATTAATATTTTCTTTTGACAACATCCTGGCTGAATAGCTGTTACCAATCCATCGGGCATCAGACTTATCAATTGTACATCCCATGGTGTATATTACATGGTGTATATTACATCTACTTAGTCCACCTATCATTCATTATGCACGATACGAAAAACAATTTAAAGAAAACTTCTTTAGAATATTTATTGTTTTTAGATCGGAATTTCACATTTTGTATTGTCATTTAGTCTCGAACGCAAGCGATCTCGTTAAATAAATGTACAACTACCTCTTGAGTCTTTTCATTAATAAATAAAGTCTTATGTCTCCATGTGGAAATAATAACAAAGCAATTTTTTCTACCATTTAACTTGATATTTTGAATAGGTTATTTTAAATGCATGGTTTTACGTTTTGTATCTAATCTGTAAGCGACTAATTTTTACGAATAAAACTACCTTAAGTTGTTTTCAAACGCTAAACTGAGATCTACGTACCGAGGTCAAATAGTAGTTTTGTTTTATCTTTTGATTTTTATACCTTTTAAACACTTGTCGTTAATTTAATGAAGCTTCAATGGTAAACATTTAGAAGTATTAGGTGATAATCTGAAATTTTCAAACTGCAATTCGTTTAGAAGGTAGATCAATTTAATTTCATGGCATAAAGACTACAGACTTTTGGTGTTAAATTAAAATCTTGATTATGATATATGAAAACAGATTTTAGTGATACAACGATAATTGTGTTTATACTGTGCTCAAATAAAATGATTAAATATAAATTATTCTTTAGGATTATATGGGTATTACACTGTAAATTAATAATTATTGTAACTCCGTATTTTTACTGTTTCAAAATTGCATTAATAATTAAATACACAGCATTTTGTTGCATGGTCAATATACAACTAAAACTGAATTAATTCAAAATAAACATTAACTGCATTCGTTTATCTAAGCTTATAAAAGTATTTAACATAACAGCACATTAAAAGTCTTACATGTTGCAAACTGATTTTTAAATTTGATTTTTCTTTTGACAGAGATACCAAGAATGGTGGATGTGCCAAAACGAGTTAACGGAAGACCAGGTATCTACTTTTATTTCCAATATTCTACTTTGATAGTTAGTTAAATATGTATTTTTAAAAGATAATCAATTTAATATTTTGAAAGAACAAAATAACTTACTTAACATTTCGAATATATGATTGATTTTGTTTGCATTTAATATTTATGTCACTCCAGATAAAGAACACCAATTGTTGCCAATCGAAGATGCCTCTGATTTTTTCATTTACCTTCTATGTTATAATGGTGGGAAACATTTACTGACATATCTTCAAAATTGCAGAAATGTCTATTTCTGAAAAAAAAAATTTAATTAGAACGTAGGAAATGTGATATAAAGTTTAGTAGGGGAAAGTTGGTGTCACAACGTTTTAGAGATAAGTACGGTGTTTCCAAGTTTTTAGGCACAGCTCTAGTTCAATTCTTAGAACTTACAGGCAATGTTATCGACCAGAGGGGACAAGTATTGACATGTTTATGTAGCTATCCCGTGCAGTATTCTTTAGTCCGATTCAGTTGCTTGACTGATGCAGGCGCATTTCTGTAGCATTATTTTTGCTCTCAATAAAAGACTGGGAAAGCAATCATTTTTTTTCTTGTGGAAAAACTTCAGAAACTGTTCAACGTCTTTGAGAAGTATTCTGATCCCACGTTTAAAAAAATATTTACAGGGAAAAAGTTTTTAAAAATGAGAGTTTGACCATGTCACAAATAGGTGGATTGAGGAGACATAGAAAACGTTCTTTGTGGACAGCTTATCAGGTTCAATGTTCCGTCTTACTTTCTTTGGGAACATGCACAGACCTGACTCGGAACAGGGAACTTACTAAAGCTATGTTCAATAAATGTGGAAGGTAGACAAGATACACAGGAAGGGTATACAAAACCCTTTATTTTTCACTACAATAATTTCCGTACTTCGGAATACAGAGACCAACTACTTGAGGTCTGAACGTAAGAATATAAAAATATTTAACTAAAACTCTAACTTAACTTTGGAATAATAAACGTGGAAGATTGGCCGGATATTAACAGGAAGCCGTATGTAGTACAGATAACTGTTAACACTACAATACGTTTAAAATTATCACGAGGATTAAACCTCTGGCCTGGAAGGCAAACAGCAACTGAGTAAAACTTCTAAGGCAAGCGGCCTGCTTCGACTAACTCCTTCCTCTCTCTCGCGCTTGGCAAAAAGCCACAACTTAAGTACTTGGCGTTCGCCAGACAAATTTTGCATAAATAAGTTAACGCTTTTAATTCTGGCCGGAAGTAGAAAATAAGAAGTGATAGTAAAGATTTAAAATAAAATAAACGTTAGTAAAACTTAAGATCCTTACATACTTCCCGCCAGAGTTAATTAGTTTGAAACTGAGGTCTAAAACGACCTTGTTGAAAACTTTTAGCTCTAGAATCTAACGCGAGGCCAATCTTTTACAAACATTTCTCACTAGAAACTAGAAATTAAAAAAAAAAAAAAAATTGTTTTTACAATAGCAGCTCCATGGACACCCAATTTTTCATCTGTACTGCATCTAAACAGGAGCTTTTATTCAAATCTGGTTCCTTCCAGAGATCTGGAAGGAAAACTAGTTTAATGAAATGTTACACAATGAAATGGCAAGTAACATGCATATTTATATTTCTCTTAACTGATTTTTAAATTTGATTTTTCTTTCATTCATGAATTTTCTTCATCATTCATTTCATTTTCTTCATCATTTTTTATTTCATTCATGACTATCTTAATTATCTCTCCCCGTGCTCTCTGACATGTGTTGTAAAAGAACACCAAACACGAATGTGTTTATGTATACGTGTTCAACACTGCCTCCTACAATCAAAACACTAACGTGTTAAAATTCAACATGACAAGACCTCTTAACACACCCTATCTTCAACTCTAAACCCTGAGGTACTATTCTGAAAGTGGCTAACTCTGAAGTGTAGCGTCAGAGAGCCTAACTACATTCATTCAACCTTTAACACATATTCACCATAATTTGGTCTTTTTACAGTCACACGAATAAGTTTAAAAATTTTTGGTATTACTTTCACTTTTACCATATCACAGTATTTCTTAACATTTAAAATAACAGTTCACATTGTATATAAGAACATATTAACATGCCGTTAATTTTACGCATTTTAAAACATACATTAGTAGTACATTGTTAACTTCTATTCTTTTCAAAGCAAGTGCCAATTCTTCTACATTGAAATACTACATTTCAAAAAGTCTTTCAGACTAAAACTTCTTTCTTGCCAGAATGTTTTAAATAAAATTTATACAATAACTTTTACAATATTTAAGTATTTACATATTCCTATTATACATCAACTTTAGTTTTACGCGCGAGTAATTGAAAAACATAATACCAAAATCGGTAACAACTCATTTCTCGCCTTTTTGGCGATAAAGGTAGACCTCACATGAGGTAAAACTTCTTGAAATCTGCCACTTGCAGTAAGAATGAAAGATTAACTTAAGTTTGCAAAGTAACATAAAATTTTACTTATCTTTGTGATATTCGGACATTCTTTTCTGAGCCCAGTCCTGGAAGGTAGTAGCGCAGATTCTGTTTGATTTATCCTCCTTCTTGTGCGGGCTCGCCCTTCAGTGCCTTCCTCTAGAAGCTTTCTTTTTCCTCCAGTTCGGTCACCCTTGAATACCTTCTTTTTCGCCTCTGCCTGTGGTCTTGGCCGTTTGATGGCAGCTGGTCTTGGCGGAACCGGGACACTTCTTTCGCGTTCCTGCTTGGACCTCGTTGCTGGCCGTTCAAATTTTCCTTGTAACTTTTCCTCCGCCGCTGGTGGCCCTTCCGCAGTTCGGCGACATTTGCTGCGGAGAGTCCTGTCCGATGAGTAGATCTTCCGTTTGGGAGCCGGGTTATAGTTGCCGTCATTTCTCCTGGCTTTCTTTGGATTCGTCGTACTTCTCCCTTCTTCATTCTGGGGGTGTTCGTGAGCTCTCTTTTCTGGACGGTGGAACGGCTTCTTTTTCTTGTTACCTTCAATTTTCCAGCGAGGGGGAAACTTTCTTTTCAATTGCTCCTGCCTCCTAATGGCTTGTCCCTTGTGCTTGTCGTTGTTCCACCTCTGGAGCTTGTGCCTGCCGTGTCTGCCGTGCCGGATCCTGCAAAAGATCTTTGAAAATTTGCATTTTATTACGATCATAGTAGGGTTTTATTTGATCAATGTTTGCGGAGCAGTTTCACCATTCCTGGCTTTTAAACACCACTACAGCGTGAGTTATTTTTTCTATGACATATGGTCCTTCAAATTGTGGAAAAAATTTGGCAGTTTTATCTTCTGGTGCTGAAGAAAGTGAATGCTTAATTTTTAACACTTCATCCCCTACTTTATAAGTTACTCCCCGTCGTTTCAAGTCATAATAAAGCTTTTGTTTTCTCTGTGCTACTTCAGTATTCTTTTTTGCTTCTTTAATTAATTTTTCTATATCACCCATTTTAAATTCTGGGGCTCTTTGTTGCACATAAAATAATTTATCTAACGGCGTTATAATCTTTCTGCCTAAAAATAACTCAGCAGGAGTTTTGCCCGTTGTATCATGTTTTGCGGTCCTAAGGGCGAAAGCAAATTCATTGACATAGTTATCCCAGCTTTTATGAAAATTTTTAACATAACTACGGATAATTTTCACTATATTTCTATTGACCCGTTCCGCTATATTTGATTGCGGCCGATACGGGACCATTTTTAAATGACGTATGCCCAGTTTTTGGCACATGTCTTCAAATACATTACTTACAAATTGAGGACCATTATCCGATATAACTTTTAGGGGCGCCCCGTATTTTAAAATATATTTATTTAAAATAGAATCAGTAACTAATTTCGCGGAGGCTCGTTTTAAGGGAACAATTTCGGTCCACTTACTAAAATGATCAACCATAACAAGGAGATAGCGACTTTTATTTAACTGACTTTTTGGGAAAGGGCCCAATAAATCGATGCCAATTATTTCATTTGGAAATTCGGATTTAATACTATTTAGAAACCCGGCCGGGCGGAAATTAATATAATTAACTGCTTGACATGTTGGGCAGGACTGGACATACGCCCTTGTTAACTTTTGCAGTTCAGGAAAATAGACTGCCTCGCGTACGCGTTGGATAGTTTTTCGAATACCAGCATGAGAAGCTAAAGGGCTGTCATGCAACTCCTGCAGGATATTTAATCTAAGACTAGCTGGGATAACAGGTCGAAATTCGTTGTTGGAATTCGTAGTTTTTGTATAAAATAATAGACCATCTATTAGTTCGTAATGGGCCGCCCTATTTCTTATCGCCACAATATCTTGGTGGCTAAAATTTTCAGGATCCTTTAAATACTCATAAATGCTTCCAAACTCAGGATCCTTACCCAGTTCGGTTATTACAGTTTCTCGGGAATTTATTGTACATGCTGTGAGCATTGCCACCTTTACAGTATTACCTTCTTCATCTATTTTAATTCTGGATAGGGCATCTGCTACGATATTTTCCTTTCCGGGGGTATGCTTGATTACCAGATTATATTCTTGTAGCTTGAGTGCCCATCTTATTAACCTTGGGGATAAGTTTTTCCCTGAGTACAATCTAGTTACCGCCGCATGATCAGAGTACACTGTTATTGGCGCCTTTCCAAAATAGACTCGGAACTTTTGCACTGCTAACAGAACTGCAAGTGCCTCTCTCTCGGTCGCGGAATAATAGTTTCTTTGTGTTTGATTTAAAGTTCGGCTAAAAAAAATGCCACGGGCTGCTGATTTTGCGAAAGTACCGCTCCTACCGCATAATCCGAAGCATCCGCTGAAATTTCTAAATTCTCATCCTTTTCAGGAAATTTCAACACAGGGGCTTGCGTTAATGCTTGTTTTAATTTTTCGAAAGCACTATTGGCTTCGGCCGTCCACGAGAATCTTGCCTTTTTCCTTTTTAATTTTAACAATGGTTCAGCAATAGCTGCAAAATCTTTATAAAGGACCTATAATATGAACAAAGTCCTAGAAAAGAAG